AAACTAGTAGACCACTTTCTAAGGCTGATGTTCATAATGCCATGAATAAAATATAAGCTAGTAGGTCACTTTCTAAGGTTCATGTTTATATTACCATGAATGAAATATAAACTAGTAGGTCACTTTCTAAGGCTGATGTTCATACTGCCATGAATAAAATATAAACTAGTAGACCACTTTGTAAGGCTGATGTTCATATTGCCATGAATAAAATATAAACTAGTAGGTCACTTTCTAAGGCTGATGTTCATACTGCCATGAATAAAATATAAACTAGTAGGTCACTTTGTAAGGCTGATGTTCATACTGCCATGAATAAAATATAAACTAGTAGACCACTTTCTAAAGCTAATGTTCATATTACCATGAATAAGATGCAAACTAGTAGGACACTTTCTAAGGCTGATGTTCATATTGCCATGAATAAGATGTAAACTAGTAGGTCACTTTGTAAGGCTGATGTTCATACTGCCATGAATAAGATGTAAACTAGTAGGTCACTTTGTAAGGTTGATGTTCATATTGCCATGAATAAAATATAAACTAGTAGACCACTTTCTGAAGCTGATGTTCATAATGCCATGAATAAAATATAAACAAGTAGACAACTTTCTAAGGCTGGTGTTCAAATTGCCATGAATAAAATATAAACTAGTAGGTCACTTTCTGAGGCTGATGTTCATATTATCATGAATAAGATGTAAGCTAGTAGACCACTTTCTAAGGCTGGTGTTCATAATGCCATGAATAAAATATAAACAAGTAGGTCACTTTCTAAGGCTGATGTTCATATTATCATGAATAAGATGTAAGCTAATAGACCACTTTCTAAAGCTGAGCTGTCATCGGACTCATAGTATTTTCTGCCATAAAAAAGTGGTCTAAAATAATATTTCGCTTCTTCAAAACAAAAACAAAACAAAATGGCAAAAGACCACTTAGAATAATATTGTGCACCCATCTTTGTCAGATTATTACAACAAATTAAATTTACAGGATGTATTAGTGTACAAAGGTAACAAGAGAAACACTGTATAAGCAGTAAAGTGAAGAGACTAAGATAAAATTTCAGAAAACTTAAAGCGATGATTTATTCGAGATCTTTTAACATAAAAATGTACAAACTATTGTAGGCTTCAATACTTGACTTAATTCAAGCATGTACCAAAACATGAATTAATTCTACTAGACATCTGAGTCAATTAATTATATTACCTAAACAATGTTACTACATTTCTCTGACACAGCATTGTTTTGTCTGATTCTATCAATTAATAATGTTACCTAAACAATGTTACTCCATCTCTCTGACACAGTATTGTTCTGTCTGTGACTGCGTTAGAGAATAAGTATTCTTAAAACTCACGAAATTCTTGGTGTTTCCTTTGGTAGCCGGAGGTAAGAACCTAAGTTCTCCTGTAATATAGGGTCACCTGTGTGTCTTAGCTGATGAATAGCTGAGAGATAGCGATATCTACTGAATATATATGTATTAACGAATCTATAGATTTTACGTAAACTTCAGTGTAGTGGATTTAGAATTTCACTACGTTTCTTTGAGCAAGGTATAGCCTGATTCTCCTTATCAAACGTGGTTTCTGCAAATCATTAGCATCACTTTTTTAAATGATAAAACTACGTTATAAATATTCTTCTGACTATAACATGGCCTTTATCGGTTTAAGTTTAGTTTATCAGCTGGTCGAACCATACTTTGTAAGTTTATCGACTAACCATACTATGTAAGTTCATCTGCTAACTATACTCTGTAAGTTTATCGGTTAACATACTGTTAAAGTTTATCAGCGAATCGTACTGTGTAAGTTTATCGATGAATCATACTGTGTAAGTTTATCGGCTAACTATACCGTGTAAGTTTCAAACTCCTCCAGCACTGATATGTTGAATGTTCTACTTATCAGTATGGAGTCAGACTTAGTCTGATAGGCCTCAGAAGTTTACACTGTAATTGTGCAATAGGTCAAGTTTAGTAAAGGTATAAGAGAAAGGCCTACCTACAATGTTATAGCGAACGGTTAACTCTTGCTCAACTGTCTTATGCTCAAATGGTATATTCTTGCACAAGTTTCTTAAAAATGTAGCCGGAAGGCCTGCCTACAGTGTTAGAAAGATTAGTGTATTCTTGCACAAGTTTCTTAAAAATGTACATACACCATTCTTTCTGACACTGTGGGAAGGCCTTCCAGTTACATTTTTAAGAAACTTCTGCAAGAATACACTATTCTTTCTAGCACTGTAGGCAAGCTTTCGTGATATTTTAAAGAAACTTGTACAAGATTACACTATTTGAATTAACACTGTAGGAAGGCCTTCTGGCTACATTTTTAAGAAACTTGTGCAAGAATACACTATTCTTTCTAACACTGTGGGAAGGCCGTCCGGTTACATATTAAAGAAACTTGTGCAAGATTACACTATTTTTTCTAACACTGTAGGAAGGTCTTCCGACTACATTTTTAAGAAACTTATGCAAGAATACACCATTCTTTCTATAACTGTAGGAAGGCCTTCCGGCCTTGCTCAATTTTCTTTTTTTAAGTATAACATGAATAACTTCCTGTAGTGTTAAAGAAACGATATTGTTGCTCGTGTTTGTAAAAAAATATAGGTGAAAGGTATTCTTACAGGGCTCAAAATATGACAGCCAACTAATTATTTCACTTAACAGTTATTTCTGAACCATTCAACGTCAGAATTAGTTAATATCTGTTTGTTTTACTCATGTTTTTTAGTGTGTAATATCTTTGTGTTGAAAAACGTAAATGTTTCCCAAGCAGTTTAGAATGATTTATATATATAAATTTATTTTTAATAATATCGACACTGCACTTTTAAAGAAACCTTAGCAAGACTTTTAGAGATTTACCTTATAAATTAATATATATATATGTGTGTGTGTGTGTGTGTTAGTGAACTAAATTAATGTATCTAACATTCTTGTCGCGATATGAAATGTGTTTTGCTGTGTAGACTATTGAAATAAGGTTGTAAGTGACTATAAGATTTGCCCTACGAAACCTACCAGTATTGTTAAGGCTAAAACTAAAAAAAGATGAATATTTTTTTCGATCAAATAAAAAAAAATCAATGTAAACTATCAAAACTGCGAAGACTAAAATTGTTTTGTTGTTTCTTTCATTTACTTTATTGTTTACGTTGTTCATTTGTTTAACCTAACTTCTTTGAAATATATACTTTTGTCGTGTTAAGAAGATTTGAAAATCGACTTTCAAAAATAAATTGTTAATAACTTTCAAACATTCAGTCTCAACATATAGCAGTGACACATGGAATCTATAAGTGCATGTTTAGCAAGAATAAATATTAATAGTACTTTTTAGTAGGCCATCAACAATATTACTTTGTTCAAAATATTTTTTCTTAATTGTTTTGATTGTGTTAATGTTAGAAACGATCCATAATTAATACATATTCAAACAATTGAAACTCACACGAAAAGTATCGTCTAAGATTAAGAACGATTAATACGTCAAATCGCTCCTGTTCAATTAAATAATTAAATAAGTTAGATTTTTTTTTCCTGTATGTACTTTCACTTCAAATATTTATTTGTTATTCACAGCTATGTAAATTCTATGCAAATTATAGCGTATATTTCGATAAAAATTGTTTTTCACTAAGTTTAGACTTCAATTATTATCATATCAGAACTTCTCAAACAAATAATTACCTAGAATTTAGAACGATTTTCTACGTTGATTGGACTTTATTTATTTATATTTTTGGAACTCTCTCTTCCAGCGGATAGTTTTCAAACAGAAGTGATTCTTCGAATTAATATTCGTTCCAAGAACTGTGAAAAATCACTCTGACGAAACGACATTGAAACAAACTTTTCTAGATAAATAAACAGGCTATCATAAGCATGAGAACTGTGAAAAATCACTCTGACGAAACAACATTGAAACAAACGTGGTATATACCAGTAAGAAAACCATACATTATTCCTCTCATACACAGATTGAAAGTTTAATATGCAGAAAAACTGTAAGTCGGACAGACTATGTCATCCATAACTCTATAGATAAATAACTATATGCGCAGCTATATGAACACACAATGTTTCATTATACTTCGTATTTATAATTACCTTCGTGTTTGTTTTTAAACACATTTAACGTGATAATTATTTAAGAAGAAGGATTTATAAGAATAAATTAGAAGAGTTTATATCTATATATTTAAATCCTGTGCGAAATACTGATTATTTTTTCAAGTCTGTACACTTAATACCTCGAGTGTGATGCTACGTATATCACATTATAACAAAAAATGTTTTAGGAAACTATTCTCTTGAAATTTATCCATATTATCATGATTTATGAGGTGATTATTGTATATATTCACGTAAAAAATAGTAAAAAATGAAAGAAATCGAAAGATTGAGGGATGAATGAATGAATGGGCGTGGTTAAAAAATACATTCGTTTTTACACCACTATATTCCGTTAAGCATAGGATTACAATGTATTTCTTATAAATAGGTCAGAGAAAAAATTAAACTAGTTACGCTGGTGAGATCTTCCCTTTCGTCTAACCTTTATCTCTGCATTATGCTTAGAGTATTATATTATAGTCGGTTATAATCATCCACGGTTAAACGGTTGCTTTTATTTTTTAGTGCTTGAGCTTCATATTAGAACTCGTATCAGTGTACTGTATTAACCTAGTGAACATACCAAATTATCTTCGAACTATGTAATTCCTCAGAATCAATCATGAGTTTGGAATTTCAGACCGCCCCCTCTTCTCTCCTCCCTCCCCAGAGACGAAGAACGAAGTACATTTCTCTGTTGGAAACTATACGCTCTTTTTTTATTGTTTAAAAAAAAAAATTCAATGCCGCATGGCTGCTCAAAAATGGAAGTCACGTGCTTCTGCACTATCTCTCATTTCCCACTACAAGTACAGGGCAAGCCTACCCATAGTCGGTGGTTGCTGCTGCATGCAGTATAGACTGTAGCGTGGATTTGTAATGGGTCATGAGAAAATGGGGTGGTGAGAGTGTTTCCTGACTGGAAGAAAGGCCTAGTTTATGTGCCATTACATCGAAACAGGCTAAATCATTCACTTTCGCTAGCCAGTAGAATTGGTTATTTGTTTTAATAGACTGTGTTTGTGCTAATTTTAACAGTCCTGGTAGTTGCATCAAGTATTAATAGTATTCGTTTCAGATTTTTAAGTGGGTGCGTAATCGTGACGTAACAGAGTAGAACCGTTGACAGATGTGTTCCTATACGGTACACGTATGTAATACTCTAAAGATATTATATACTCACAGTCGCATATAATGCACTGTAATACGTCTACTTAAATGCCTTAAGGATGTACATGTACAGCGGGAGGAAGAAGTAACAATATTTTATGAGTGATTGGCATGAAATGGCGTTTTCTGAGTAACATTGGCTAAAGTTTCGTATCCAAGAACATTCGGGAAGTATGTAAGTACGGCGATTCTTTTTTGTTTGTTTTTTGGTTCCAAATCTCTTTGTTAATAATGTAGAGGGAAGACAGCTAGTCAACACCGCCTACCGCCAATTCTTGGGCTACTCATTTATCAAATAATAGTGGGATTGATCGTGACTTTATAACGCTCCCACGGCTGAAGAGGCAAGCATGTTCGGCGATGGGGATTCGAACCCTTACTTCAGGATAACTGGATAAATCCTTTAACTCATTACCTAATATAACAGCTTTCGTCCAAGTCTTCAGACGTTAATATTATTAACTTGACGAAAGTGCTTACAGTAAAAGCTAAGGCATTTATCTAGTTATTTTGAAATAACTTATAATATATACAAATAGACGTAGAAGATCAAAACCATCAATTTTGACCAATTGTTAGACGCACGGCTTATATTGGATAACGTACCTGTTATAGTTTAATACGTATTTTACGTCACACAGCACCACTGAGTGACATGACACTTCCCACTAAGTGTGTTGTAGCATCTGATGCTATAGCGGCTAATACTTCCTTATTATAGCGTTTGAAATAACTTACTCAAAGTCAGTTACTTGCACGAGCATATACTGTACTTACAAAATACCAAACAACAGATACAGAGATACGCAATTTATGGTCTTAAACTTAAAATTATCTTTATAAACTGGTCAAAAATTGATCAATACTATGTAGTTTTGTAACATGGTACAGCCGAGAACATAATGCGTGACCAACCTGCACTAAGGAACTTCGGTTAAGAAAACATTGAAATTGATTTGCTTTCTTCTACAAGGTTTTTTTTTTATCAATTCGTGGACTGAATCGGATTCGTGTCGAATATCTTAGGTGAGAATTTTTAATCACCTCGTACTTATTAAACTTCTTTATTTGTAATATACAGCAAAAAAAGGTCCGTTTTTCAATTTATATTTTAGTTTTACTTTAAGCGTTAAATAAATGTATAAGGAAGGTACTTGGTAAACCGCTTTTATGTATGTTGTTATTTTTTAAATAATTGGTAAATTTATCATAAAACTATATCAGTGTAGGAAACTAAGTCATTAAATAGCGAAGGTTCTTTGTAATCAACACTTCAATATCATATTAAACAATATGTCTATCTTAATGAAAAACAATACGGAAGTCACATTATTATTTTTTATCTAATACAGTCCTTTATCATATAATGTTATATTAACTAGTTTTCTATTACAATAAAATTTTGAAAATGTATTTTGTGTGGAAATAGTTTACTTTCCTTGCAATATTTGTCTTACATGTGATTTCACTGTATAAACTATTTTGTCTACGATGATGTTTGTAAAATTAATTCAGTCTAGAAACAGTATATTGTTACGTCTTCGTTTGTTAATGAACTTTCCGTAACTTCAATATAAGTTTAACATGACAGCAAATGTACAACGTTTCGACAAGGGTTTGTTATCATCAGGTACAATGATGATGACAAAACCTTGT